TATTATCTAATATTTAGATTGACTGAAACATTTTTTTAGATAATATTATTTTAATCGATAAATTTAACACACTAATTTTTCAATTTTTTTTCTAAAAATAGTAAAAATCGCACTTGTACATCATGTGGTTCATGCTATACGGATGAGAAGAGATGTGTAACAAATATTGCTATGCAGGGCCGTCTTAAAATATTTGTAGATTGCTTTTAAATTATTTATTAAAATATATTTAGTACAGAAAAATCATTTCTTAAGAAATTTGGAAGAAAAACAAAATTGAGTTTTTTTTCGATTGCTCTATTTATCCGTGGTAAAAGACGGTTTTGTCGCTATGCGGTTCTTCATATTTGTTTATGTTCATTTCTTGAAGACGGTCCAACTATTTCTTTTAACTTTTTAGTTTTTTATGTTGATACGGTTATAATGCAACAAAGTTATTGATAACGGTCATAAAATCAGAGAAAAACGTGTCACCTTGACCTTGTATCTCTAATCAGCCTTAGAGGGTGTCTGCTTTAATAATAGTTTTTTGGATTTTTATTCATAAACTAAAGTGTTGCATGTAACGCAAAAATATTTTCCAACATATGGCCAAATATATCTGAATTTAAGTTCGACTTGACGGTACAATTAATACGACCCATAAAATGTCAAAAAGTTTTTTTACCATTGACTAATAGATCCGAACCTTTCAATTATAAAAAGGTTCAAAATAATCTGTTTATATTAAATAATCCAAAAATAATTAGTCCTTAATTATTTTAAAGGTTAATAGTTCAATATTACTTTTGAAAACTATAATTAGAAAACTAACATGTTGATAATTAAATTTAACTAAATAGTAGAGAAAAAACATATTCAGACAAAATTACCCCTACAAAATTTATTAAGAAAAATATCAATAAATAACAAAAAAATATTTTCTCATCTCTCAAAAATCAAAAAATCCCAAAAAATTAAAGGTAAATAATCTCAAAAAATATATTCTTTTTCATTGTCACTGTGTCTTGAAAAATATATCGTTCTACAAACAAAATAAGATTATATAAGAAAACAGCTAGAAAAGATGACAAAAAAAAATATGTTGTTACACTTAACTGTTTAATAATATAGTTGGCTATTATCGAACTTACATTTTCTTAATAACATAGATTACTATTTTTGAAACTACATATTTTATTGATCTTAGAAGATAGTTAGCTACCTCATACTAGTTTGTAACTATCTAAAATATAGTTAACTATTTTTCAGAAACTAGTTACCCATTAAAAACATAGTTAACTATTTTCATAGCATAGTTGCCTACTTTAAAAGTTTTATAACATAGTTAACTACAAAAAAAAATTGTTTTAATAGTTACTTGTTTACACAAACATAATGAAAAAAGGTAACATATATAGTTAACTATTATGAGATAAATAGTTACACAATGACAAATAATTAATTAACTATTATCAGAAAAACATAGTTATCTATTATACTGATATTCCAACATAGTTACCTATACTCCATATTGACTAGGAGAGAGGACGACAATATGGAGTTTAATGGAGAAAAAGAAACATCATCTTAATCTATAATCGAAGATTTTTCTATGGGAAGAGAGAAGTGATCGATTATG